GGTTACGTCGGATGTTTGGCTACCCAGCATTTGGTCACATTGTGGATGTGAGATTTAATCCGATAGCATATTTGGGATTCAGAGGCGTGTTTGATTATCAGGTATTAGCTTCTGGCTTTGTTCTGAGTAGGTATGTCACGTTTGGCTCTCGGCAGGTGGAGAGTGATGATCAGATCATTGGGACATCGCAGCGGGTGGAGAGTGATGCTACTCCACGTTGGGTGGAGACTCCAGATCATACTGCGTCATTTGGGATTCCAGCTGAGGTGACACAGATTGAGAATCATGTTGTTTTGGATGCAGATGATAGGTTGATTGATTCGAGTGCAGCTAATAGATGTAGTTTGGATATGATCATTGGTTTATCTCAGGTGGAGGTGTTTAGATTGTTTCAGTTTAGGGCCATTGGAGGTGCTATCAGCCGCAGACTTGATAAGTGAGGCATTTGGTGTAGTCGGTGTAGGCTCAGTTTGATTTGGTGAGTAGACACTATTTGGTTTGGGTTGAGTGTTCGCACTCCCATTTGGGTCTCGACCTGTTGTGGATGGAGTCCGTTGTCATGAGTCCGTTGCCACGACGTACTAGATACAATAAGTGAGACATTTGTTTTTGGTTGGTGTCGGCTCAGTTTTGGGAAAACTTCACCGAGGTGGAGAATTGTGAACGTGGGGGGGTCTACCACGTGATTGAAGTGTGAAACCGCGTGAACTTTGTTTCCGCGTGAGGATTGTGCAAAGAAAAGGAAGTGCGGCCCACCCGAATCAACCAATCACAATATAAAAGGGTCTCCTAGGTTTTCGTGTGATTGCGGGTGCTGGAGGTTGATTTGTTTGTTTTTCTTTTGGCGGCTGCTGCAGAAGAAAAGTGCAAGGTGGGAATCTCCTTTTGCTGGCGGCTACGAAGAAAAACAAGGAGGTTTGGCTGCGGCTGTGTGCGAAGTTGAGGCAGAAGAAAAAAAAATATTGGCGGCTGGGCTTGAAGAATCAAAACGCGCAGACTTGCAAGGGGCGACGCTGTGCAAGGAGTTTTGTTTTGTGACTGTAGTTGTTTGGGCAGAGCTTTTGGCTGCAGTGTTTTTTCCCTCTTTTGAGAGAGATTTTGTGAGGGATCTGAGAGTTTGTGAGGGTTTAGATTGTGAGATTGTAAACCCAGTTGTATCTCTCCCTCTATTAGTAGATCTCCACCTCCTTGCCCCGTGGACGTAGGCTATTTGCCGAACCACGTAAAAGTTGTGTTCTTGCCGTGATTTGTAATAGCTTGTAGGATCCCTCGACAGGTCAGTCCTAGAACTGATGAGAGGAAGAACCGATATCTCACTTGGTTGAGATATCCGCTTTAGATTCTTGTTTCCTTGGTGAGACGGGAATTCTTATCGATCTAATCTCTCTTGTTGTGCTGCCGAAGTGCTGCCGAAATTTCCGCTGCGCACAACAGCTTTTGGTTCTAATTTTTTGAGAAAAGATCATATGGAAGTAGTTAATTGGTGATGTTTATGTTGATTATGGAAGAGGGCAAATTTTTCCTCGTCGTCCTTATCTAAGCTTTCGTTGTTAAATTTGGCTGGAACTTGGAAGAGGGCAAGATTTTGCCTTTGAAAGAACTGAAAATGAAATGGTATAATTGATAAGTTTCACATGGGTAGTTACATTTATCTAGGCATAGAAAGCCAAGTTCGTAGTTTTTTATATTGATGGAATTTCTGAAGCCAAAAGAAAGAACATTATATTATTTTCACAGAAAATTGACAAGTTGCAGCTTAGAAAAACTAGTTAATTATTATGATTATACTTTTTCTAATCTAGTTCGGATAACAACTTTTATGAATGCAAGTTACAAATATTACAGAAGATAAATGAGAACCTAATGATTTTTATTTGACACTAAAGTGCATGTTACATGGGGCTTCTTGATGCTATATCAGATACATTCATTCCATGCTGCTCAGTTTTTTCTTATACTTGTGTGCCTTATAAGGTCCGTTTGTTTTGCTACAAAAATTAAGTGCTGCAAATGTTGCAGAAAGAAATGTTGCATGCAGCAAATGTTGCAGAAAGAAATGTTGCACGCAACATTTGTTACCGAAAATCAACTTCAAATCCTTTGTTTGGATATCTTGTTATCCACTGTCTTATTGTAGAAGATGTATTTCCGATATGAAGAATAACTACAGGAGTATAGTGAGTCACTCCCTCATCAAGGATCACTACCCAGCCATTGTGGCAATTATCTACCATTTGAATGAGTGGGAGATTTGACACCTCCACTACTAAGCAAACTTTTTGTGCTTGTACTCACAGCATGACTCGTAAATTTCATACATATATACGAACTCATACTATTTAACATACACCATACTAATCAATACAATCTCATGAATATACAGATAAGATATATACAATATCAAGTACACGTATATAATAAATAATAATACTAACAAATAAATGACGATATAATATTATATTATAATATCATGCAGTACAGCTATATATAAGATATAATAATAATATATCCGTATTATATGAACTCGAATGATATAATATAGCCCATATGAGAATAATGGGTATCCTTGTCATAGCCTGGTGGTCTTCTCCTCATGACGCCTCTAAAATCACATGATTGACGCTGGCATGTGTGAACCTGATCCTGCGGTCCCCGTTGAAACCTGTGGATTTACATCATGGTCGTGAGATAACCCAACACACAAGTTGTTGGGGGTGACCCATCGTCGTTCTGACCTTCTCACCTCTCGTATCCAAATTTTAACGGTTTTGATGAATGCACTTTTGACATGGCTCGATGGAGGGTCAAACGACGACGGTTCACCCCAACGTTGGTGGTGTTGGGGTTGTTAGCAACTACTGCTAGAGCTCACGTTTAAGTACGGAAGGGATCATCCATGAGATGTCGCTACAACATCATGTGATTTTAAGGCGTCTAGTGCGGAAATCCCATCCTATGATCAAGGATACCATTAATCTCATAGTATACTTGTATATACTGATATACGTACTGAATACTAAGTTACTAAACGTATATATAATTATACGACTCGCTACCTATATTATCTGGGACAGCTGACGGTATATCGACAAATAAAAAGAAAATAAATAAATAAGATGAAGAAATAAATGAGATCATAGCATATAGAGACCAAGAAAGATATAATAGGTCATTATACGCACTCAAGTCACAAAGAACAAAGTTAATAACGCAAAGCAAGGTAAAAATCAAATACAAAAATGTCAGCTCATCCCATCAAATGTGCAAATATATAAATAGCAGAGCTACCGGAATTCAGACACCCTCCCTCTAATACACGACAGACTAACAAAAACACAAAAAAAAAAAAACCTTAACCGATTTGGAATCACAATGAATTAGGAGACACAGGAACCATATGAGCGCAAAACCTATATTAATGCATCCAACAAAATGAGGATATACAATTTCCATGAAAATCACAGTAAAATTATAAACACAAACAGAACCAAACAAGACATCAAATTATAAAGAGAAGAAAAACACACATCACAAACACAGCGCCTAGAAAATAATAATAACACCACATCTGTAGACAAACAATGAAAAAAGAAAGGACACTAATGCCATAAATGTCCACAGAAAGATCTAACCCCAAGGTCATGAAATTTTAATAGACTCCAATAGATTCTTACATTACGAAGAATTGCTCAGTTTCATAATCTAAGTGAAGGATTAGTGATGATGATTCTCAGGATCACCGAGATTTATGTTAATGCTTTGCACTTGTTTCAATTTTCTGAAAGTCTTCGGAACTTCCAGATACAACACGTTGAGCGACACGACAATCTTTCTTGACACCATAAGATTGCTATTACTTGATCAGAAGAAAGAACTCAATACTATAGTACTCTTGCAATACCAAACGAACACGGAAAGAATCTTAACTAAAAGCTTTGAAGAAAAGAAAGAATGAATATTATTGATACTTTCTCTGAATTATATGACGCAGAAAATTCCAATGAGAAAATAACTATAGAATAGGTAAAACTTGAAGAATTCTTCAGTAAGGAACCAATGAAATTCTTATAAAATAAAGGAACTTTTTTGATTAAGGAAATTAATTATCATACAGAAAAAATCTTTACCAAATTTACATAAACCTTGATTGCAAACATGAACATCAGAAAGTTTATATCAAAACCTGTTAGGGAAGAGGGAATTGGGAGATTTTTGCTATCAATTTGGGTTCCAAATGGAAAATCCAAGAAATAATTGGAATGAAGAAAAAACACCTCCTAAAAGAAGGGCTAGAACAAATAAAAACCCCACTTGTTATAAATGCAAAAAGAAAGGACACTATGCCAATAAATGTCCACAAAAAGATCTAAAAACCAAGGTCAGTGAAATTTTAATAGACTCCAAAGAATTTTCTACGGAAGAAATTGATCAGTTTATTAATAATATGAGGATTAGTGATGATGATTCCTCAAATCATGAAGATTTATGTAATAATCTTTGCACTTGTTTCAACTTTTCTGAAAGCTCTTCGGAAACTTCCCAGATAAACACTTTGCGCGAACACGAACAATTTATTCTTGACACCATAGATGCTATTACTGATCCACAAGAAAAAAAAAACTCAATTAACTAAGTATCTTGAAATGACCAAGAAAAAGGGAAAAAATCTAACCAAGGCTCTTGAAGAAAAGAAAGAAAATGAATATTATACTTTCTCTGAAATTATAAACAGAATTCAAAATGAGAAAAAACTAGAGAATAAGGTAAACCTTGAAGAACTTCAAAAGGAACAAGGAAATTTAAAAATAGAACTTTTTGAATTAAGACAAAAAATAAAAAATTTAGAAACTTACCTAGAAAATAAAACCATAGAAGCATCTGATAGTTTCAAAAATATAAAAAACGTTGAACATGAGGAAGACTCTGATGATAATGAATTTATAAATTCTATAGAAAAATATGTTGAGAAAAAATGGAGATGTAATATCATACTTAACATTATGGACGAATACTCTGTCCAACACACAGCTCTTATTGACACTGGAGCAGATGTTAATTGCATTAGAGAAGATCTTATTCCTCTGAGGTTCTATGAGAAAACATCTCATCTTGTTAGTACTGCAAATGGACAATCTCTCAAAGCCCGATATAAACTCACTAATGTGTACATTTGCAATGATGGTCAAA